AGACCAGAAAAAAAAATTATGTAAAACAAAGCATAATATTTTTCTTTTAAATATACATTACAACAAAAACGTTAGCGGCTTCTTTTTCTTTTTGTGAAGCTTTACATTATATTATATTTTATATATATATATATATATATATATATATATATATATATATATATGTGTGTGTGTGAGTTTTTAGGCAGCAACTACTTTCATGCACATTTCATTGAAAATGACAGACAAGGTGCTTTTATTTAGTTTTTTATACAATTTCACATGCGATCTAATATTTTTTTTTCTTTTCGGATGATAAATTATATAAAAACTGTCCGAATGTTCTTTTTATCCGAGCGCTTTCGGCTATACATTTTTTTTAAAAAAAAACACCTTGCCTGTCGTTTTCAATGAAATGTGCACATATATATATAAATATATATATATATACTTTATGCTATTACACTGAAAATATGTAAAAAACGCTACACAATTGCAGTCGTGGTTCGAGGCGAATCAACACATCTCATCAGACAATTGCCTGATAAGATGCGTTGATTCCCATCGAAACACGACTGCAATTGTGTAGCGTTTTTGTTTTACATATTTTCGGTTTAATAGCCTAAGATAAAGAACATTGCTCTACTTTGTATTGAGCCCTCTTTTAAATTAAAAGGTTACGAACGTAGGAATTTTACTCTGTTCGTTCTCATCTAACCTGGATATATATATATATATATATATATATATATATATATAAGTGAACATTGAAGTAAACACTCAGAGGCGACAAGCTGTGTCATGCTGGACGCAATCGATAAGCCGCCGACTACGTCCGGCATGAAACAGCCTGTCGCCTCTGAGCGTTGACTTCAATATTCACCTTTATATTTATATTTACATACGCTCTATCTCTGATATTGAGCACTTTATCCCATAAGTATAGCACACCTTAAAACGATATATATATATATATATATATATATATATATATATATATATATATATATATATATATATGGCGTGGTGTAATGGTTAGCAAGCTTGTCATTTTAAAACAGTTACGGCTGAATAGTGAGTTAGATCCTCACTGGTGCCCCATGCTTTAGGCCATGTCCCATATATAAGCTACACTTACAAAATCAATATATATATATATATTTCAGCGTTTTTATATTTTCCATTTGGTTGGAATGAGGGAGTACAAAAACTGTTCTGCTCGGAATAAACGCTCTTACTAGTGTTCAATACCACACAAATAATACATCTCAAATAGTCAAAACATAAAATGAAACTAACATCACCTATACCAAACCCCAACGAAAATGGCTAAGGAATGGTCGAAACCGCTTGAGACAATTGAGGGTATGGACAGTTTTTTGTCCTCCTATCAAACGGAAGAATGTAAGAACGCTGGCAAAACTAAATAAAAAATTGATAAAAATTTTCCTTGTACGTCAGATTTCACGAAAGATGTTTAAAAGAAAGGTTTCTTTTTTTACACGAATTATTTTTTTTTTCACAAGAATTGTTTTCATTTTTTTGTCATAATAATTTATTATGTTTCAAAAATGTTTGGAAATTTTTTCCAATCTTCGTCCTCGTTTAGTCATTAAGTGAAGACTATTTACAAAGCGAAAATTGAAAAGCTTAATACAAATCATCATGCCAAAGATTTTTTAAATAATTTCGTGTGTGTGTGTGTGTGTGTGTGTGTGTGTGTAAACTTGCCGATTTTAAAAGTATGAATGACCATATACGACATTATAAGAAAATGAGATCGATCATGATAGTAAATGTAAAGTCGACATTACTAAAATTAGAGCACGGCGAATATTTCCAACATTTTCAAGATTACCGAGTACTTAAAAATTATATTAAAAAAAAAAAAAATCGTTCACCTGTTATTTTCTTGAATTATGTTTTAACAGATAAGGTCTCCGTAGAACAATAATAAATGTGTCAACACCTCGTAAATCACTTGACGAGTGATTTACGAGGTGTTGACAAGCATATAATCGCGCTACTGTTTGCTCTACAAATCCATTTCTCTGCTATTTTCATCTTAAAGTAAATAATACTCGTTTCAAATCTGATACTTTAAATCAGCTCGTATTATCAAATAAAGTTTCAGAAAAGTATATTTTATTTTTGGAAGATTTTTTTTAATAAAGAAAAATTCATTGCGATGACAGATGGCTAAAAAATGGGACTAATAAGTTATTTTTTAGCCCCCTCCAAGTTAATCGACACCAACCAATAGAAATAATGTTTGAAATACACTACACAGTATTTTAGATACTGGAAATAGTAAATGTAATCCTTTAGCTTTCAATCTCTATATATAAAACAGTGAATGTCTGTGTCTGTCTGTCTGTCTGTCTGTGGGATACCTTTTTACTCGAGATCCATCCAACCGATTTTGACCAAACTTGGCACATACATTGTACAATGTAAGAGATAGGTTCTTAGCGTAAAAAATCGATAATTTAAAAAAAAAAAATCAATAATCGATAGAGCCGATCAAAAATCGATAAAGACAACTTTTTCCTCCGTTTTAGTTTAAACTCGGTATGTAGGTTACTTACATCATGACGGGTTCAACGATCATTTTTATTTCTACGCCACTGCGTTGAGTGAAAAACGGTGAAAAACTAAAAATCGATTTCAACACAAATTTTAAACTAAAAACTCCCTCAATTTTCAAGCAATCTAATACAAACTTCACTCAACTGTAGCCAGAAATAAGTTGATTGTTTAACAGTCATTTAAATTTATAATTTGTGTCCACCTCTACAGTGGAAACCCGTATAAATAGCGAAAAATGGGGATTTTTACTGGTTTCTTTATTATTTTTCATTGATCTTCCAACTAATTTTCATCAAACTTAACAATTGCTTTATAAATGTATCCTCTTTTACATCCCTGGTAGCACAATGACAAATTGAATTTCAGTGGGTCTTCATGTTGCCTGTTTTACCCCTTCATGTCCTCGGCTAACTTCGATTGAATAAATACAGACTACTTCTGTCATATCAATAACTGCATTAATTCAAAATGTTTTTTTAATGAAAGTACTTTAAAGTAATTGAAGAAGATAGACTCTGATTATTCTAAACATGATACTGTTTTTGCTCCATTCTAATTGAACGCTTTTTCTGGTCGACCATATGGCTGTTAGTTAACGCTAAAATGAAAGCGTCAAGAACGATTTTTTATTCATGAAACTTTATTTCTTCTTTAGGTGTACCGAGTAATTGGAGGTACCTTATTTCATGTATAAAAATGGACATTGAAGCCAGATTTTCATTGGCAATATATAATGACCGCAACTTGACAATGGTGCTTGTTTTGCTACCGATTATGGCCATCACTGACAAGTGTGTTCCGTAGTGTCAGTCATCGTGAAAGCAACAATGGCTGGTGAAGCGAACAAGTAACTTGCAAATCTTATTGCACAAGCGGCAAACTATCTTGTACAGTACCTGACCTGACCTGTTCAGGCTGTTTGTGGGTTTTCCATTGACGGCTTAAACCGTTACAGTTTCTGTGGGTCATCTCACCCAACCCGTTGTCAAGGTATTCCCAGCGTAATATTGAACGAAACGTCAACGGTCAACTAATAAGACATTCACTGACGTTGTGGTTCCACCTTCAACAGGGAGTCGCAGATTCGAATCTAGCGCACTTTCTTCATTAAGTTTTCTCAGACGAAATAAATACTGTTTAAAATAAACGGAACGTCTACTCAAATACGGGTATCCAATAAAAATAATGTTTGAAGTAGAATATATATATATATATATTGTAACAGTAAAATTGTCCAAATATTTTACTGCAAAATTGTTCATTTGTTACATTAAAATTTCAACCGTTGTATCTTAGTAATGATTAAAGATATCTTACTGGAATTCTCCGAGATTTTTATAACTACTTTGAACAATAAGAATGTATAATTACTCTTCAAGCTTAACCGAAGAATCGTGATGACAGCGATCCCAAACGAAAGTGACATGTTCATCATTAATTAATGATAGCTAAGGATTGAAAGCTCAGGAAGGATTGAAATAAAGTTATATATATATATATATATATATATATATATATATAGAGAGAGAGAGAGAGAGAGAGAGAGAGGGAAAGATGGATAGATAGATAGATAGATAGATATACATTATTCCAGGATCATTTTCCAACTTATTCAAGATGATCTTCGCCTTCTCTAACCTTCTAACTTTTTGTCCTGAAGTAACAAGATGCCTCACTGTTTTCACGCACGATTACATTTTCAGGTCTTTTTTCACTGCTCTTTGGACTGTCATAGCTGAAACTCCTCTCACGTGCCAAACGTCTTATGGATTGAGTTTGATCTTTGCTAATTTGATCTCTTTAGCTCCAAGTTGAAATGATGATCCCTCTTGCTGTTGTGACCTCCTGATCCAGTTTTCCTCTCTACTGTTCCCTCTTTTTTAAACTTATTCACCGTTTCCTTGATGGTTCTTGAACGGACTTTGAAAATGAAAGCCAGAGCATCAATGTTGGTACCATTACTGAAGGCCTGAATTAACTATTTCCTCTCACCATTGCTCAGTTGGGAAGACAGTGGGTCTGGTACAAAACGATTTTAACCACCTGTTCTCTTTCTCGCTGAATAATTCAAAGGGGGTTTCAGTGATTCTTACGACAAATAGAGTCAAGACGGCTAAACGTCTTATCTGAAAATCTGTGTATGCGTGTGTGTGTGTGTGTGTGTATGTGTGTGTGTGTGTGTGTGTGTGTGTGTAATACTCGGGTTACCATAGTCGATCTGTCAGGAAGCTGATACGATCGGTGTGGGGGAGATGATCCCAGTGTACGGTGCCTTTGGAAAGTTCCTGAAAGCCAGACAACAGTTTGATCCAAGCATTGAGAGGAAAATTGGATAGACAGAACTATCGATGCTAGCACGATGTCACAAGTCATCGTGATCGAGGGTTTGAGCGCACTGACCGTGTTGAGCAGACTGTTGACCAGGCCACATAATGCTCTCTCTCTCTCTCTCTCTCTCTCTCTCTCTCTCTCTCACTCTCTCTCTCTCTCTCTCTCTCTCTCTCTCTCTCTCTCAAAATTTCTCTCTCTCTTTCCTCTCTCTCTCTCTCTCTCTCTCTCTCTCTCTCTCTCTCCCAAAACCTGTAATTAAGGTTCGCTCAGTATAGTTGTAATATAAATCACAGGTGGGTGCTGTGGGTATTGAACAAACAGGGATTGTCTAGCCGCCCTAGTAGACATGCATTCACGGATACGAGCGGCCAGCCATTATATATACATACATACATATAAAAAAATGGTCCGAAAGTCTTGTCACCCACTGACTCTCTTTCAAACTCTAGAAGCTCGTGTCACTTATCTGAAAAAAAAAATTATATTATGTAAGGGTGACAAGACTTTCGGAGATCCTCTATATATATATATATATATATATATATATATATATATATATATATATATATGTATATATATATATCCGATGTAATGAGAACGAAAGTAATATATAAGTTCAAACGTTCACTGCATTAATTAAAAAAAGGGATCGGTACTGATTGTAGAGCGATTTATAATTTTATCATATAGACAAAAACAATTTGCTCACTACAAAAATGCAACTTCGTTTCGGTGCATTTCAATTGCACCTCGACTGGCAAGAAGCAAAAACGGTTATGAACAATTCTGCTTACAAGCGGAAACGAAGTTGCATTTTTGTAGTGAATAAACTGTTTTTGTCTATATGATAAATTTATAATATATATAGATGATAGAAATTATGAGGAGGATTTGATAATTATATTTTAAGTAATGCATCGAGTCTGAAAGAAACCTCAACAGAATGCAGAAAGCACTGGACGGCCGTTTCGTCCTATATTTGGGACTCATCAGCAGTGTGCATCCACTGCAGAGAATTGAAACCTTGGCAGTTAGGTTATCAAGCAAACATCATACCAACCGTTCCACCGGGCCTCGGTGACGGAGAGATTCAAAATCACGAGGGAACCGTGGAACACTTTATTTAGAATATTTAATATATATATATATATATATATATATATATATATATATATATATATATATATATATATATATATATATATATATATATATATATATATATATATATATATATATATATATATATATATATATATATATATATATATATATATATATATATTTTTATTCCGCTGTTCTCGCGTTTGATGGAACCAATTTCAAGTCGATCAAGATTACATCATATAAACGATCAAATGGAAATTTTTATGTTCTTTTTTGTGTTTTTTTTGTACACACACTTCAATATACGATTCCCTCTGGAGAAAGACAGCCTTTTTTAATGTCGGATGATTCTTTTTTATTACAACAGCCTCCTGAATATGGAGTCTTTAATTGCACTGTGCAATATAAGATATAAGATCAATGTTTGATGTAATCTACTGAAATTTGTCTTATGTCTATTTCTCATATATACATCTATGTGTGCGCAAATTTCATTAAGTTTTGACTGATATATATCAGTTGATTGATATATGTCAAACTTATGAAAATAAAATTCGTCAAAATAAAACAACTGTCTCCTTGTCAAACTTGTCAAAATAAAACAATTTTCCACTTATCAAATTTTGTCTGGATTCTGTATCCCATTCATACGCACATTGTCGACACGGAAAACACAAACACATAGCTAAAATATTTGAATATTTTACTTTTAACCCGTTTTGAAAAATTAGTTAAGGATTCCTCTTAAATTCAATGCAGAAAAGGTGGGAGAATATAAAAACAAATTTCGACAAAACAAGAAAAACTGGAAAGAAAAGAAAACAGTATAAATAAAATAACCGCTTTTATATAAAAGCCACACAATTTTATTCTTTCATCCCGACCTAGGAACGCCAACAGAATGAAAACGCATTAATGATTTAATATTGAAGCACACACACACACACACACACACACACACACACATATATATATATATAGACACACACACACACATATATATATAGTCACACACACACATATATTTCGTTCGTCCTAGTCTGAAGAAGCCAAACTAACGCTGCCGACACGCGCATTCAAGTCAATAATACAATTTTCAATTTATCAGATATATACATATATTTTTTAATCAATTCACCCACAAGCAAGGCGATAATGCCATTAAGACGCAAGGGCTTACTGAATCTGAAAGAGAATGAAGTAACTTTTGAAGGAAGCGGAAACATAATCCTAAACAGGAAACAAGTGATATACTACTGCTCATGTTCAAAAGAGGCAGGAGCAGGATGAACCGGGCGATAGGCGAACTTATCTACTCCCACTGAGGTGAAGCAAAAAATAATTATAAATTATAAACTAAAAATAGTTTCATAGTAATTGTTCTGATGAACCTTTCTCTCTGTGAAAATAGACTTTATGAATTTAAGCGCAGTACTAAATTGGCGAGGAGGTCTCATCATTTTACAGTTGAAATGGCTGGATGTAACCGTTAGTTTTCTGATAACAGTTCCTCCGCTCGAACATCTCTCCTGTGGAACTCTCTCTCTCTCTCTCTCTCTCTCTCTCTCTCTCTCTCTCTCTCTCTCGCTCAACTTCTTGCATTCCAATCAACGATGGTTATCCTTTCTCTTAATAATGTTTTTTTTCTCTTATTCTCGCGCAGCCAGTAACCCTTTTGCGTCGTAGTCGCGTTATTGCATTACTTTGGGATGAAATGATTAAAATAGAATACACACATACGCATACGCACGCACGCATATATATATATATATATATATATATATATATATATATATATATATATATATTAAGACCTAACAATATATCAAACTTTGATTATGAACATCTCGGTTGTAATGTCCATATAACCATTCTGATGAAGGCTCATGTCAGCCGAAAGCTTAGATCGAGGAACAGCATAATAAAAATATATATATATACAAATATTGGACAGTTTTTGTCTTTATTTTCTCCCGAAATTAAAGCAACTATACGAAGTTTAGAACGGCTCATGATCAAACATAATAGACATTCATTGTCTGTTATATTTAACAATATATATTTGAATAATTAACTGCTGCCCCAGTACATGACACACACACACGCACGCACGCACGCACGCACGCACACACACGCACGCACACACACACACACACACACACACACACACACACATATATATATATATATATATATATATATATATATATATACCGGGCGCTGATAGCTCAGGGTAAAATCTCCGACTGCTTTGGAATCAGTCGTTTCGATCCTGGCTTGAGGCAATTGTATGTCTATCCACATTGATGCGATGATATATATATATATATTGTCATCCACATACAGACTGTTTCGCTGTGTCACATCTCATATATATATATTATATATATATATTAAGACATTTTTATTTTTAACATTCTTTTATAAAAATGTCTGAAAATAATTGTCGGACTTTGTCCATTTCATATATATATATATATATATATATATATATGTTGAACAATAACAAATATTAAACAATTAAAAAATTAATATCTTCAGACACACTGGATTGTATATTAATATTCTTTCGTTTTTATTATTATTTCACTTAGATTCCTCGACTAGTTTCGGCCAATATGGCCATCATCAGGAGAAAAAAAATTCTGCTTGCTAGTAGCAGTGAACTACAGAAATGAATGTCTTGATGGAGAAAATGAACTTTTGTCTGTAGTTTTCATTTTTTTGTTTTTTTGGTTTTTTTAACGTGAATTTTGGTCAATCCTTGTGTTGGTCAAACAGTCTCTTTTAAGTTGTTATTTGAGATAAGAGCTGGATGGATTCATGCTGCTCTGAATTCCCTTGGTCATTTTGAGAGTTTTATTGGTTCCTGGAAAGGGGATGTGTCTCTGTTAAGTGTGTGTGTGTGTGTGTGTTATTTGGTTCTTAGGGAGTGAATCAGTATGATGTGTGTAAGCGTGTATATTACTATGGGTGTGTGTTATCATTTGGCTCTTTAGGGAGTGAGTGAGTATGATGTGTGTAAGTGTGTATATTACTATCGGTGTGGCTTATTATATATATATTAGTCTGTTCTTAAATATGTATTTCTTATTAGTGGAACTGTGTAAACTTTATATTTCGTGGATACACCTGTTTTGGTGATTTTGTGGGTAAAGATTCTCTATTAAATGCAACTGAGAGTGTTAATAAAGAAGATGTGCCTTGCGGTAACGTTTGAGGCCAGTAGATGTACATTTATGCTGGTTAAAAACAGTCGAGTCTACTCAAGCACGGTTCATCATTAAATATAACGTTTAAAGTAACGAGAAATATTGTTGAATTAGAAATAAAATCCATTTATCACTCTTTCTATCAAAAGACCTTCAGATCTATCTATCTCTCTATCTATCTATCTATCTATTTATGTTGGTAATATCAATCCAGTTTGCCTGCCAAGTGTGTGGGCGAGTTTTGTCTGTCACACGCAGGTCTAACAAGTCATCGGTGAGATCGTGCTGAAAGACCATTAATCAACTCTGCGGTTTTCCTTGACATAAATCATCTGACATGTGGGAAGTTCGAAAAAGTGTGCAAAAGTCGATCGGGCCTAGCATGGCACCTGAAAGTGCACGAGACTTTTGACCCTAGCGAAGGCAAAGTGAAAGGACCCCAGCCAGAAGATCTTCTTTTGTAAGTGTGGGGAAAATAGGTACGTCACTTGTTGGTTTCTAACAGTGACGATCGCTTATGAACGACGATAACACATTACATCGAAATTTAGCGATTGACATGCGCGTTTAACTAGGGGACATCCATAATCTAGCTATATATCTATCTATCTATTTATGTATCTATCTATCGATCGATGTCTATTCATATCTTATCATATCTATCTATTTATCGATCGATTGATCGATGTCTATTCATATCATATGTATCTAGTTATCGATCGATCGATCGATGTCTATTCATATCTATCTATCTATCTATCTATCTATCTATTTCTCTGCCAATATATATATATATATATATATATATATATATTAGTTTGTAACTCTGGGTTTCACGCTTTTGCGATCATATATATATATATATATATATATATATATGTTTGTTCATAACTATCTATCTATCTATCTATCTGTCATTCTCACCTTTTTCTGATCTATCTGTCTCAGTATGTTCATATCTATCTATCTATCTATCCATCTATCTATCTACCTCAGCTTGTTTAGATCTATCCATCTCAATATGTTTATATCTATCTATCTATCTATCTATATATATATATATATATATATATATATATATATATATATATGTCTGTCTACCTCAGCTTGTTCACTTCTATCCATCTCAGTATGTTTATATCTATCTATCTGTCTATCTTTCTATTTATCCACAGTCAAAAAAGAAATTATTCGTGAACCCATCAATTTTGAATATTTTTATCCATTTCTCAGAATCTAATGCCAATATGATATCAGGTTTTTATATACTGATAATCCCAAAAAAGAAATATAAAACTCGGTTTTCGGAACAATAGGTTAAATACAACAAATTTGACAGGCAAATAATGCAAAATAGGAAACGACAAAATTATTCCTACAGTAGAAAATATTGTTTTAAATTGATTGATTCGTGTAAGTATAAGTAATTTATATAATTATTTTTTATCGATGAAGCCTTCTAGACTATTTATTCAGTGGAATATTTGTGATAATTCCTGCAATGAATATTACGTTGTGCATAGATTGTCACCATTGTTATTCTTACGTTAACAGCACGATGGAGGAAGCAAGGGTGCTTAGCGTTGACTTGAGACATAGAATTTTTAATTTCAACAAAGAAATAGTTACAGTACTATTTCAAACCGGTTAGCTCTCCCTAGATCTATGGTACTGTCCGTTATAAATTAGTTTAAACAGCTTGGCACGACAGAGAATTTACCTAGGCGTGGAAGAAAACCCAAATTTGTCACCGAGAACTGCACGAAAACTGTGTCGTGAGGTTAATATAAACAATATAAAACTTTGGATACGATAGGCATCAACGTAAGTACTCGCACAATACAGCGTTGTTTTAATAGAAATAGGTTGTATGGAAAATGACCACAACTTACCCCTCTTCACAAACCAAGTCACATAGTTGCTCGGTTTAATTTTGCCAGAACGTTCTTGAACAAAGAATATTGCTTTTGGGAACAAGTACTATGGAATGATGAAACAAAAACTGAGCGTTTTTGAACATAATGATGTACGGAAGATTTGGTGCAAGAAAGGTGATGCTTTCCTCCCAAAGAACACAATGGCAATATTAACACATGGAGGCGGCTCGATGATGTTTTGGGGTTGTTTTAACTCAAGGGGGGACTGGCCAATTAATTGCAATAAGAGGAATAATGAAATCTGCAGACAAAATCAAAATTCTGGATGAAAATCTACAGCTATCAGCGTAAAATCTTCATCTAAGTCGGCGATTTACTTTCCAGCAAGATAATGATCCCAAACATACGTCTGATTGCGTGGCTTCAGGAAAAGAAGATTACAGTTCTGACATGTTCTTCAATGAGTTCTGACTTGAATCCTATTGAAAATCTATGGCAAGAATTGAAAGTTCGAATAATTCATCGGTCACCAGAAAACATTCAGGAATTAGAACCTGTAACCATTGAAGAATGGAAGAAAATCCCAGAAAAGACTTGTTCAAATCTCATCAAAAACTTTAGAAAACGATTTCAACAAGTTATAAAGATGAGACGCCATGCTATTAATTTTAATATTGAGAAAATTGTTCAAGTTTTTCTATTTTTCATTCTATACGAATAATTTTTGTCTTTTCCTATTTTGCATAATTCGCCTGTAAAACTTATTGTTCTGGAAATTGAGTTTTTTAACTGCTTTTTTGTTTATTAACATATAAAAACCGGAACTCATATGGCGATTAGATTCAGAAAAATGGATAAAAATATTCAAAATGGATGGATGTACGAATAATTTCGTCGTTGACTGTATCTATCTAAGCTTGTTCTGGTCTATCTCTGCTTGGTCTGATCTATCTATATATCTGTCTCAGTATGTTCATATCTATCTATCTTGTTCAGATCTATCTATAAATCTATCTGTCTGACTGTCTCTCTCAGCTTGTTTAGATCTATTTATTCATATCAGTATGTTCATATCTATCTCTGCTTGTTCTACTTAATTATCTATCTATCTATCTGTCTATCTATCTATCTATCTATCTATCTATCTTAATATGTTCATATGTTCTTTGCTTGTTCTTATCTTTGTATGTTCACATATATCTATATATATATCTATATATATATATATATTTGCTTGTTCTTATCTTCTTAGTATGTTCATATCTATCTATCTCCCTATCTATCTTAGTAGGTTCATATCTATCTATCTGTCTTTGCTTGTTATCTTCTTTGTATGTTCATATCTATCTATCTATCTATCTATCTATCTATCTATCTATATATATATATATATATATATATATATATATATATATATATATCTTTGCTTGTTCTAATCTTCTTAATATGTTCATATCTATCTATCTATCTATTTTATTATGTTCATATCTATCTATCTATCTATCTATCTATCTATCTATATATATATATATATATATATATATATATATATATATGTGTGTGTGTGTGTGTGTATATATATATAGATATATATATATATGTATATATATATATATATATATATATATATATATATATATATATATATATATATAAAGAAAAAGAACAGTAAGGTATATAATCCGGTGTTCTTTAAATTTACAAATAGGAAAAAAAATGCCGTAAGAATTTTTTTGCCGTTAACAATAAATTTTTTAAAAAAATCCAGACGACATGCATTCAACGGATGTCAGTTTTCATTGAAAAATACATCCCTACCCCTTACCAAAATGTAGCTAATAACCGATACAATGATACAGACATAAGGAAAACCCAGACACCTCTTGTCCAGTTGAAGTAGATTTATCTGTAACCATGGAAACGTGATTTTAGCTGTGTCTTTAAAACCCACTAATTTTAAAAGTTACTCCAAAATTCGCTTGAGGATGAAATGGAACTAATGTCTTTAATTTAATTGCAAAATTAAATTCGTGGCTTTTAGCTTCAATTTTTGAAACATGGTTAGAACTGTGTAGCGGAAAAACATATTTTAAATCAATTAATATCATAATATATATATATATATATATATATATATATATATATATATATATATATATATATATCCGTCTTTCCCTATCTATCTATCTATCTATCTATCTATCTATCTATGTGCGTGTTTGTTGTGTGTTATTTTGGCGGCCTGATTGCTGACAAAACAAAGACTTTTACAAAATGGAAGAGAATGTCATGAAACAATGCCAATCCAGGGGAGGGGGAGGGGTTACTTTCGGAAGACGTAAAGCAGCCATTTAATTGTGCGCTTCTTCCTAGCGTTGCCATTAGCAACACGATCGCCATTGGTCGAGGGTGGGGAGCACCGTCGTCTGTAAACACGTGATGTTTTGCTTCCTTTCTTCCATTCTTCTTTTAGTTTTTTTTATTATTATTATTTCCCGCCAGCGCCGCCTTCCCAACATTTTCTCTCTCTGTCATTACCTCGGCCCCTTCAATTATCCGCTACCGTCAAAATTGGCTTCTATATTCGGGGAAATTGTTTTTAACTTCCCCATTCCCTTCTTCATTCGCCTCAGCTGTCGTTGATTCCCTTTCGTTCTCCTCAGCTAACGACTTTAATTCAGTTTTCGACATTCCTCTATGAAATGAAAGTATTAGGTTAATGTAACATTCTTTTTTCTTTTCCTTTTTTTTTTTTGCAATGATGTATAGGACCCGAGAGCCACACGAGGCAGAGGGTTACAGAGTAAGAGGTGCCAATCCAAGTAAAGAGATAATGTCAACAAATCGCAAGGAGCGGCCAGAAGTGAAAGAGAAAGGAAAATGTCTTTAAAGGGAAACGGAAGTTCAATCCTAATCAGGGATAAAATCCTGGTTAAAAATCCGGAGAAGTGTCGGAACCGGGCGATAGGCGAACCTATCTACTCCTATTGAGAAGAAAAAAAAGAATTTGTAAATAAATTTTTAGAGTTCAAACGGAGATGTTAGACGTATAAAGTTGAAGTAGGCTCTAGAAGAAACCGGAAGACCAATCTTAAACTGGGAACAAGGAATAAGCCATCTAATCCTGTTCAAATGATCGGAGAGGAGACGTTAGAAGTGTAGAATTGAAGTAGACTTTAGAAGGAAGCGGAAACCCAATCCTAAACAGGGAACAAGGGATAAACCTTCTACTCCTGTTCAAAAGACCCAAAAGGAGACGTTAGAAGTATAGAGTTGAAGTAGACTTTAGAAGGAAGCGGAAACCCAATCCTAAACAGGGGACAAGGGATAAATCCTCTACTCCTGTTCAAAAGACCTGGGAGGAGACGTTAGAAGCAGACTTTAGAAGGAAGAGGAAACCCAATCCTAAACAGGAAACAAGGGATAAACCTTCTACTCCTGTTCAAAAGACCTGGGAGGAGACGTTAGAAATATAGAGTTGAAGTAGACTTTAGAAGGAAGCGGAAACCCAATCCTAAACAGGGAACAAGGGATAAACCTGTACTCCTGTTCAAAAGACAGGGGAGGAGACGTTAGAAGTATAGAGTTGAAGTAGACTTTAGAAGGAAGCGGAAACCCAATCCTAAACAGGAAACAAGGGATAAACCTCTTCTTCTGTTCAAAAGACCGGGGAGGAGACTTTAGAAGTATAGAGTTGAAGTAGACTTTAGAAGGAAACGGAAACCCAATCCTAAACAGTAAACAAGTGATAACGTATGAACCCATTAGAGAACCTATCTACTTTTATTTAGGAAAAAAAAATATATTAATAATAAAATTTCCCAGTGTCATTTTTTGGAACCTCAGGAAAATCTTAGTACTGTATTTGACACTGATTCTGTTTTTTTTTTTTTTTTATTATTCTTACGTTTGACACGTTCAACACCATGGGACATTGATTAACCTCCCGTTTCTTAAATTCGCGCCTAGTTTCGATGTTCCACGCAAGTTCTGTGCCTAATAGCAGCAATATTATTAACGGTCAAAGGAACCCCTCGATAGTAAGGCTGATCAATCCGACAATCCAAAGCGACCTCATGTTTAACGCTAACTGCGGCAAAAGATGGCTTGTCAATTCTAACGCTTCCAAAACGAAACTTCTCTTCATTAATCATCGGCGAGACCTCTCTCTGACTTCCATCAGCATGGCTGATGCTAACCTCCAGGAAAGTGACTTGTTATGCCTTCTCAGTTTTCAGCTAACATGAAGTGGAAAATCAATATTGAATCTAATGTTAGGTCAGCGGCTAATATGGTCAGGTCACTGTGTCGTACAAGATAATTTTTCTCTCCAGAATCTATCTTACATATCTATAAGTCTACCATTCGTCCATGCTCGGAAGATTGCTACAACATATGGCCCGGTGCACCCTGCTGTTTACCTTGAGATCCTTGATAAGAATCAGCAATATTATTGGTTCTGATCTGGCGACTCAGTTTCAATCACTTACTTACCGCCGGAAGGTTGCCTCTCTGTGCAAAAACAACAAAAAAAAACTTTTATGATAATTGTTCAGATGAGCTCTTCGCTATGGTACCTAGACTTTAGATGAATTTAAGCGCAGTACTAGATTGGCGGTAAGGTCTCACCAAGTTACAGATGAGCTGACTAGATGTAGCCATAACTTCTATGCTAACAGTTTCTTTTCTCACACTTCTCACTTGTAGAACTCCGGTTACTCTAAAATTTTCACACAATGTTGGCAACAACGATCTGCGTAATCATTGAAATTTTCGTACTGATCTGCGCAATGTAAACAAACTGGCGCCATATTTGTTATCAGCACGGTGATTTGAGCGTGCCAAATTATTAGAAAGGTTTAGTAAAATTCCCAGAATTGAGCAAACAAAACGTTTATTAATTTTGCACGTGAATGTTTATGATCAAAAGAAGCTAATAAATAAGATAATCAAATAAATAATAACAGATACAAACAAAGGCACAGTTTTAAATAAATTAATAGGGAATGTGCTTTCCCTGTTTTGAAATTACTTGAAAAAGTCGACGATCCATAGAATTTGTTAATTGTAGGATGTCATCTGCTGTAATGCCGCGAGATATGTCAGGAATTGCTTCCCACAATTCAGCGTTGCTCCTGAATTGTCATCCGTTGGTGTATTGTCTTCGCTTTATGATGCTCCAGTGGTTTTCGATTGGGTTCAAATCCGGAGAATTTGCTGGCCACTTCATTTTTCGAGGTCCATCGAAGCCTAAATGTTTCAAATATTCAGTAGTCTTGTGAGCAGCGTGTGAGGGAGCATTATCTTGCATAAAAAACAATGGCCTTTCTGAAGGCAACTCCTTGCCTTTTCATCCACGGTTCAAGATGCTCCTTCATAAATGCTATGTATGCATCAGCAGTCATTTTGACGCCATCTGGTACTCTCCATGGGCCCGCTAATGTGTTTCCAATAATGCCACCCCAGATCATTATGCCTCCACCGCCTTGTTGGCGTCTCAAACGCTGATGGCGATTCTGTCCGTTCATTACCCAGCCTTTGCACCATCTATCTGGTCCATCAAGTGTTGCTCGAGTTTTGTCTGTGAACGTATCTTCATATTGTCCTCGGCCCATTTCAATCGATTTTGAATGTGATTTCTCGTCAACGGAGGCTCCGATACAGGTTTGACTGTTGTTGCTATTTCTCTCAGATACCGACCCGAGTACTGTTAAACACAGTAGGATCCCCAGTACGACTGAAAAGCTCTTGACTGGTAAGTCCAGGGTTCTTCGTGGCCCCTCGTTTAAGTCGTGACATGAGACGACGTGAAATAACCCTCGGCTTGTCTTTATATGCCCTTTTGCGTTGTGTGGGGTCGGCGTTGAATCTTTCACTGTTTGATGACACTTCCCTATCATTTTAAAAGTTTCTAGGGTAGATTTACTTTTTGAGAGTTCTGAGGTAATAGTTTTCTTTTCAGCATCACTTAAACTGCTTTTACGGCCCATCTTTTCACTAAATTCTTATACTTTTCTAATAATTTGGCACGCTCAAATCACCGTGCTGATAACAAATATGGCGCCAGTTTGTTTACATTGCGCAGATCAGTAAGAAATTTTCGGTGATTGCGCAGCTCAGTATTGCCAACATTGTGTGAAAATTTTGTGT